CATCAGAATCACTGCTCGGCTCTGACACGAAATTCTGTAGTGTCACAATGTCAAAAAATTAAAATTTTAACCAAATTTAGGAGCAAATAATGTCCATCAATATGGTATAAAATATGGCTCATCAGCTTCAGCTTCAACATTTTTTTTTTAATGGCAAAATATTGAAATTTCATGAGATTTACTCATATATGTTGTGCGTTATGCAATGTGTTAAGTGCATCACTCGGCATCACTGTATACGTAGTGCTGTACATGTCTTTATGCGCTATACAACGTGTGACGTACTGATGAGCTCTGCTTTATCTGCAAGAGCCTGTGTTCAATCGACACGTTGCTGCTATGCTAATCAAAAATTGACGTGGCTACTTGTATTGATATGGTGTTCTCCTATCTGCTTCGCTGATTCTCTCCAAGTTGGATCGAATGTTGCCACTGCCTGTAACCTTGTCTGTAATCAATCTTAAGGAGGTTCCGTCGCGTAGGCTAGCCAACTCGTGCAAGTAAACACCCTGCTTATCGACTGAGCTCCTGTGTATGTCCGCACGTGTAAGCGTCAACAAGAAAGCTAAAATTACGTCTTTATCGACTACGATAGATGCAATTTGTAATTACTTAAAAACTAAGTGTGATAAATAGAAATATAAAAAAATAATTAGCACGCCGCAGTTTATTCTTTCAATCATCTCGCGAATTCAAATTTCGCACGACTTTACCGACATGTAAACAAACATGACGGCCCACCTCGCGACGACGGAGTGCTTCGCCCGACGCCCGTTTTTTTTTTCATCGACAATTTTCTTTCGATTTTCACTAGCTTTCCATATTAATAGATATATCACTAGAAAGTAGAGACTTAGATCTACAAAACCGTATATGTCTTGCTTGGGAAAACTCGAGTATTTATGACTAATGAGATGCTAAACAAGATTTTGTTTTCTTCTTGTCATAAGAGCCATGTTATTCTGCTGCATAACAAGTCAACTTTGGATTGAAATATCTCCGGATTTTGTCTGGCTATCCATATTAATGGATAAGTAAGTAAGTTTAAGTTTAACCTTAAGTTTTTTTTTGGCATATGGAGCCCTGAAAGTGGGTGTTTATTTTTTGTGTAATGTATTTCAACCAAGGTGCACAAAATAATAAATAAGAAAAGAACTATAGTTATGGGTTACTTGCAGATATGATTTATTAAAATATCTTTTGTAAGGACGTCCGAGCAGTGTTGGCGTTGTCGTCCAGGGTGGTTTTTCACGTGGAGGCCTTTCTTTCACCACCGCGTACTCGTTAATGATTGAATTTAATTCGAAGAAAATAGTTTTTAAATTGCATAACTTCATTTCACTTGTCATTTTAATTATAATTTTGCTATGCATTTGCTTGACGATGGGTATAAAATCAAAGCATTGACCGTTATCATTTGACTTATGTGGGTATGTAAGCGAGTTTAATAATCGCGTGTTACGAACGTCGAACGCTAATTTATACGTGAGCTGTGCTGGCTGATCATAAAGCTGCAATGCCTATTTATTAACTTTTTTATTTGAGGAAGGAAAGTTCTCGCCTTTAAGGCTAAAAGCATGGGGATTGCATGCGACAGAATCGTGCATATGTTTTCCCTCGGAATTATTGCAACTATAAGAGTTCATGCATTTAGAAGTTTTATCCCAGTTGAAAAAAATTGCATGGATATCCACGTGGAAATCCACGAGGATTAGTAATCCTCGTGGACCATACAGGGATTCCATGTGGATCGTACAGGGATTCCACGTGGATCATACAGGGATTCCTCGTGGATCGATCATGGGCTGAAAAAAATGCAATCACCACGGATATTCTACTGATCCACGCTGATTTTTTTTCAATCCTCGTGGATGTGGAACTTGTTCGCGAGCACGCGCTTAAAACATCCACGAGGATTCGCGGCGAATCACCACGGATTTTCGACTAATCCACGCTGATTTTTTTTCAATCCTTGGTGAAGCGAGGATCGTGTGGGTGGATCAGGCGAATGAATCGTAGAGTACGAGTCGTATTGTAGTTTGAGAACACTTTATTAATTAAGAAAAGTAATACGTTATTGAAAATCAGTGGTTGCTCTGCCAGGCATCGAAGGCGTCGGTTGGAAGCGAAGTGGCGAGAAGAAGCTCTTGATCCGCGCGCCCCCTTGGCGGCGCTTGGTGGCAGAGGGAGGTCAAGTCGCGACGGCGCGCCGTTCAAAAGTGGAACGCGCGCGACCATACCGCCCGCCTCGTTCCGGGAACGAAGATAATGACGAGAAGGATCATCCACAGGGAGCAGCGGTCTTATCTTGAGCCTTGGTACGGCTTCTGGTCTGCGGTGGTGAGCTCCTTCCAGACGGGACGTCGTTGCCCGGCCGCCCGCCGTCAGGGCCGAGAGGCGGAGAGGATGAGCGAGCAGGAGCTTCCGGCGAAGGTGGCGGCATAGTTGGAAGCTGGGCGAGCTTTACAATCGGCCTCGTATAGGTGCCGTACGCCGTGCGTACAGTAGCGACTCGAACTCGACCATCAGCCCCAGGATGAACGTTCACCACCCTCCCAACTGGCCACTTGCCGTTGTCGCGCATGAGTGCTGGGTCGATGATGATGACGACGTCTCCTATGGAAAGATCAGGGCCAGGGCGATGCCATTTGGGTCGCTGCTGCAGTGTGTGTAGATATTCTTTGCTCCATCGGCTCCAGAAGTGATCTCTCAGGCGTCTCACCAACTCCCAGTGTCGGGCGGGATCAAGGTCGAGGTTCGCTTTGCTGGGCTGTGGAATGGAATTCAGCGAACGTCCGAGGAACAGATGGGCCGGCGTTATCATCTCCAAGTCATCGAGATCTCCCACCGGCGGAGTTAATGGTCGGGAATTGAGTACTCGTTCAATGTCGACGAGAAGAGTGGAAAGCTCCTCGTAAGTCAGGTGTCGAGGACCCACGACGCGACGAAGATGTATTTTGGTCGACCGCACGGCCGTCTCCCAGAGGCCGCCGAAGTGCGGGGCCTTTGGAGGAATAAACGACCAGGCAATCCCTCTTTCTGCCAGGCTACCTTTCACCAAACCCCAGTCGAGCTCGGCCGCGTGCAGCAGTCGCTTGAGTTCGGCATTAGCCCCTTTGAAGTTCGTACCGTTGTCACTCCAGATCTGAGCCGGTGGGCCTTTGCGTCCGATGAATCGAGTGAGCGCCGCTAGAAAGCTGTCTGTGCTGCAATCACCAACGAGCTCAATATGGACGGCCTTCGAGCTAAAACAAACGAAAATGGCGATATAGCCTTTTAATGTGCGGACGCCACTGCCTTTCGCTTGAAGGACGTTGAAACGTCCAGCATAATCTACGCCGGTGACGTAGAATGACGGATTGTGCTGAACTCGAGGGGCGGGAAGAGCTGCCATCTCCTGGTGTAATGGTCTGGCATCGGCTTTTGCGCATGTGACGCACTGCCGGACGAGCTGCCGCACGAGAGTTCTACCATTAATGATCCATGCTCGACGAAGGGTATGATGCAGCGTGACTCGAAAGCCGCCGTGAAGTCCACGCACGTGGGCCCAGTCGACTATCAATTTGGCGAGATGACTTTTCCCACTCAGGATGACTGGGTGTTTTACTTCGTCCGGTAGTAAAGAGTGGGTGAGTCGGCCACCCACTCGTAGACATCCATCGTCACCGAGGAAGGGTCTCAAAGACGATAGGCTACTCTTGAGCTGTACGTGGCCGTCTCGACGAATTTGCTCGATTTCTTGACTCAAATGCGCTGTCTGACTCATTTGCACGCATGTGATGAATTCACGCTGTAACTCTGCTACGGTGAGTGGAGCAAGTGGTGCCGGTATGGATGGATCTCGGCGTCGATTGAGTAGTCGGCGGATTCTCGTCAAAATTCGCAGCAGTTTGGTCAAACTTGAGAACCTTCGGATGAGCAGTGGCTCTTCCGAAATGGTGGACGTCGTCGCGTGGCAGTGGATCGTCGCGGCTTGAGGCTCATGTGACTCGTCGGATCCTGGGCCGCGCTGAGCTTGCGGCCATTCAGTGTCGTGGTTTTGAAGCCATATCGGTCCCGAGCGCCACAATTGATCGCCGATCAAATCCGCAGCAGAGCAGCCGCGAGAGGCCACGTCGGCGGGATTGTCACCCGTTGGTACGTGACGCCACGTGACTTTCTGCGAGAGTTCCTGTATATGCGTGACGTAGTCGTCCACGAGACTATTTCCTGTAGGTCCTTGAGACTTGAGCCAGTGCAGAACGATGCGGGAATCGCTCCAAGCGTGGCATCGTTCCGGAGGGACTCCGATCTCCTTCGCGACGTGCTGTAGAAGGCGGGCCGCTAGTAAAGCTGCTCGAAGCTCGAGCCTGGGTATAGTCATTCTGGTCGGGGGCTTAGCCGAGAGTCGTAAGCTCCTTGCTGGAGCGAGCTTTGTTTTGGCCCAAATTAAAGTCGTCGACGCCCCAGTTGAATCGGCGTGCTCAACTCGGCAGTAGATCACGGCGGCGATTGCGCGACGGCTGGCGTCGGCGAATGCGTGTAGTTGAATGCAGTCTCCTAATGTTTCGACTTCAGCATATACGTCCTCTTGAAAATATGCATCTTGCTGAATCTCTGGAATCTCGACGAGCTGCACGTGATTGTTCATGAAGTCGTTCCAGTAGCCATCGAGTAAAGTTCGTCGACTCGTGATGTGGCCTGTTGTCCACTCGGCGAGTGGGCGATCGATGATTGACCTTGCCAGCCGCGTCAATGTTCGACGGAGTTGCATCTGCATATTACCCGTGTTTTGACCTGCGTGTAAGACAGGGTATGTTAGTATACGCCGTGCCGAGAGTGGCTGTGCCCGCGTGGCAGTCGGCCCGAACGCTTGAGTTTGGCCGATTTTGCGTTGCAGTTTGAAACGTTTTGATTTGACGTGCCAGGAGCTGCGATCGCACTCGCACGGCAGTTGTCTGCTTGCCTAGCGAGACACGCCAGTCTGCCTGCATTGAGGCGTGCTCGTGCACGTTAGCTTGTGCCTGACGCACTTGCGGAGCATCTGTGCACATTTGAGTGCGAGTAGTGTATATGCCGTGTCAATGCTTAGAGCGCGCCTGGCGCAAGTGTGTCGGATGCGTTGCCTGTGAGCGAGACTCGTTCGTCTACATGCGCTCGTCGTAACCTTGCTCGGGCCGATGCGGGAAGCATTGGTGTATGCGTGTGCGTTCGCTCGCATGACGGCCATCTTGTTTTCTCGCAGAAGTGGTGGCGGGACCAGCTGCACTTTGCGAGAAAATTGCATGATGTTTGTATGCTTTGAGCAGGACTTCTTTTTCCCAGGGTGGTGGCGTGGCCAGCTGCACCTTCGTGTGGGATATTTGACTGTTCATAGCACACGTTTGCACTTGTACGAACTAATTTGGTTCGCGCCTGTACGCTGACGCGTTGCAGGTTATAACCTCATACCTTCCATTGCTGCTGCCATCATCCGGCTCCAAAGGACCAATTTGGTGAAGCGAGGATCGTGTGGGTGGATCAGGCGAATGAATCGTAGAGTACGAGTCGTATTGTAGTTTGAGAACACTTTATTAATTAAGAAAAGTAATACGTTATTGAAAATCAGTGGTTGCTCTGCCAGGCATCGAAGGCGTCGGTTGGAAGCGAAGTGGCGAGAAGAAGCTCTTGATCCGCGCGCCCCCTTGGCGGCGCTTGGTGGCAGAGGGAGGTCAAGTCGCGACGGCGCGCCGTTCAAAAGTGGAACGCGCGCGACCAATCCTCGTGAATGTGGAACTTGTTCGCGAGCATGCGCTCAAAACATCCACGAGGATTTGCGACGAATCACCACGGATTTTCGACTGATCCACGCTGATTTTTTTTCAATCCTCGTAGCTGTGGAACTTGTTCGCGAGCACGCGCTCGAAAATCAACGAGGATTTGCGCAAAAATCCGCGTGGATCGATCGAAAATCAACGAGGATTTGTGCAAAAATCCCCGTGGATCGATCGAAAATCAACGAGGATTTCCGCGCAATCCCCGTGGATCGATCGAAAATCAACGAGGATTTCCGTGCAAATCCCCGTGGTTTACGTATGTGGACTCTTTATATGATCCATGTTCGATCCACGTGGAATCAATGTACCATCCTCAAGGAATCCCTGTATGATCCACGTGGATATCCACGCAATTTTTTTCAACTGGGATCAATTGTAACGGTAAAAGTTACAGGGGAAAAGGTTAAATAATAATTGCGTTGGTCGCGCTAGCGACCGGGTCCGAGGATTACCTAAAAATATGGAAATAAGAAGAGGAAGGCGAACAAAAGTGGAACGGGCGATTTATGAAGTAAATAAGATAAGTTATTATTAATAATAAGGGTGAATTACAGCCGTGCTCAGGACGGCGAATGGGTGCAGTACCACGGCACGCGCGAGTGTTCGCTTATACCAGCGAATGCGAGTCGCAATGCAATGAGAGAGAGAGAGAGAGAGAGAGAGAGAGAGGTCAATACGAAACTGGCACTTACACGCAGTTTCCTTCGGTTGTGACTCCGTGGCCCATCCACGACGCTGGATTGAAGGGCGCACACACACACACTCGCTCACAATGCACTCGTTGCACTCGCTGGACTCACGCAGTGTGATACGACGCGACGTGACTACAGCGGGCTGCGATCAATTAAAATTTCTTTTAATCACAGCGTGCGGGAGGTGTTATTTGACACTCTTACAAGATAGACAACTCCCCGCCTCAGTTACGTCATGTACTATTAAATCCCGTGCAAGTGTGACTTGCTTACAGTCTGGCCCAAGCTGTACTGTTCGCGTAGCTCGCTGCTTCTCTCGTAATTTCTTACGACGCGCGCGTGATTCTGTGTCTCTTTCTTTCTCGTGTGATCTGCCGTGGTCACGATGCTGCACCTGAAACAAATTTCACGTATGAGTACAAATCATTATGGCTTTGTGGGAGAGAGAGGGGCTGGTTGACTTACTCAACGAGTGCTGCTTCGTCCTGGGTGGTCTTCAGGTTGGCCGGTTCGGCATGCAGCAGGTTGCTCGGCTCAACGTACGCTGCTTCGTCGAGCAGATTCTTGTTCTTATTTGGTGAGCTGTGGGGAGCGAGGTTATGTTATCGCCTTTGTACTTTTTGCGCTATCGTCGACATTAGCCATTATCACTCTTTGTGGTGCTTTGTTGGCTTGACGTTATATTATTATTTTTATAATTACATCATTATGGACGTTCGTCGCAAAAGGGAAAAAATCGCAATTCGTGGTCTTTGTCTGTTGTTTCTGTCCGCTCGTACTGCGTCTCTCGTCCGCGTTAGAAGTACAATGCTACTGCCGCTCTACGCGGATTTTTTTGCTGCTCGTATGGGGGAGAGTGGCGCTGCGCTGTACGTACGCCGGGAGGTCTATCGTGGTAAGCTCACGTACGGCTGACGCGTGGCAAGCACCCGTGAGATGTCTCTTTTGTTCGAGCGAAGCGATGCCGTTCATCACGCATATGAGCTAACTCTCAATTATCGATACTTTTTCGATTTTTATTGGTAAAATAATATTGACATTCCAATTTTTAGAATATATTTTTATTTTTTTACAATTGTTATTTATAATACATTCATACATATATATTTTTATTATTTAAAGATATTGTGAAATACTAACAATGAATTAATTATTATTTAATAATAAGTAATTTAATAATTAGTATTAATCAAAACTAAAAAAAAGAATTATTATTTAACATTGTCAAAACCTTTTTTAACTTATAATGAGGCGTTATTTTTTTATCATCTTGATAAGGTCTGATTTCTTGATAGCCAAGCTTTATTTATCTCTTATTATTGTTCACAAAAACTTTAATTTCGAACAATGGTGGACGATCTGAAAATTTTATTTTAAAATTTCCTTATTTTATATTTACGTATTTTATTTAATAAAATTGCATGCTTTTACCTTCTAATGATGCATCAAGAGCCGGATATGAATGATCCAAACTTGGATCTCGCAAGTCACTAAATGAAGCTGTAATCGGAGAAAATAAAAATTAGAAAATAATATTTGTTTAAATTTGAGAAGTGTATGTAAATAAGTAGGTAAGTAGCTTCATGACACTTCTATCAGTTCACGCACTGTTAATTTTTTGTAAATATGTATACAAATAAAAAACTCACGTAAATTTTCAAACTCTTGATCCCTATTTACTTCCTCCGTTTCAATGTCTTGAAAATTGTTTTTGTTAATTTTTTTCTCCTCTATAATTTCCTTATTGGGTATAGTATCATCAGTTTTAATTTTAGATTTCTTACCATATGAGGCTTGTTGTTCATCATCAGCTAGAAAATTATGATTGTACGTACATTGTTATGATAATTATGATTATAATTATACATAGATCATTGAGTACATACATCCAGTCAAGTCGACGACATATTTTTTGCTCGATGACGAGCTGCCCGAACTTGTACTCGCTGAAGTAATGGTGCAAGAGGGCTTTGTAGATCGAGGGGGGGGGGGAGATTGGGAAGTTTTTTGCAGACTTCTTGAAATCAGGAGTCATTTGGGCTAATTGGATCATCTGATCTTGTATTTCCACTGCAATTTAATTTATTATTAAGTATTATCTATTAAAATTAATAAATTTTTATATAATTAAGTTTTAGTGGGAAAATTGGCTCAAAATTTTTGTCCAAATAATTGAAGAGTCTTAAATGTTTTTGATAATAAATCGCCATGTTTATGAAATTTATGCTTTCATGTTTCTCATCGTATTTTCGGTGGATGTACACCAAACTTTTATAGCCTTTTATAGCAGCCGCCTTGTCATCAGTGAACCGCTAAAAATGAGACGAAGTAATTTAAAAAAGAATATTTCTCTGATAAATAATGAAATTAAAATACAGTCAAAACATGCGTTGATAAATACTTTTCGCCTCTGATGCTGTAACTTAGTGCAGCCCAACTTGCTTAAGGCAAATGTCAGCTGGTGCCAGAAAAAGTCCAACTCTGCGCTTCTCGTCTTTCCCGATGTTATTCGTCTGGCCTGTTCCTCTGCTCTTGAAATCAGCAAATTTTTTTGCTCCTCGGTCACTGTGTTCCGCTTTCTATATGGAAAATTGGTTATAAAAAATATGTATTGAATTGTAACAATTTACTTTTCTATAATTCGATATGAAATAAGCAATATTCGTATGAAATAAGCTTATGAGACAATATTTTGAACGTTATCTTTCTGTTTTTACTTACTGCATTTTTCTAAATTTCACTTCGGATATTTTTTTTAATGTATAAACTGCTTCTGCACTAGTTTTACCGTAAAATTGTTACCACACAGATTTTAGACTAAGTATTAATAAACAAACAATCGAAGGCAATTTTATTGTATAGTATTAAAAATCAGTACAATACATAAATAAATCATCTTATTGGAATTTGCACACAATGACATCGGTAGAGTAGCAGCAACAATTATTGGAGTATATGGAAAATCATTCCATGTTTGCTCGTAATGTTTTTTACAGCTGTGATGGAAAACTATCGCTCAAAAACCAATGGCAGAAATTATCGGAGCTGTTGAATCATATTCCAGGAGGAATAAAAAAAAACAGATGGTTGGAAAAGGGTAATTCATTTGTATAATAATATTTAACGTATCAAATTTTTTATCTTGTATTTGAGCTTCTTACTTAATTTTGCAGTACTGGAGTAAGATGAGGTCTGATGCTCGAAATGCGTACGCCAAAATACGCGAGGAGTACCGAACGACCGGGAGTGACATATGTCAAGATGATATGGGT